CTACACAGCCAAGGTTGAAAGCGGCATACTCACAGTGGTTTTATCAAACTCAGCCTCAGATGATGTTGGCGACAGAGGACTGATTGGGCTCAGAGATGGTGAGCTCTCTACGCTGGAGACGTACTCGGGGTCAGGTACGTATAAAACCTGTAAGATGTTCACACAGAGTCAGGAAAACAAGTACGAGTGGCCAAATAATGTTCCATGAGCAAGCATAATTTGATAGCGACCTTCAGCAATAAAAAAATTCAGATGATAGAACAGTATATCATATTAATAAACACTTTAAAAATAAAAAATAAACACTTTAAAACTAATTTAACAAATTAATTTAGAAATGGCTGTTAAAACAAGCTGTTGAATAGCACAGAAACAAAAACTATTACTGTTCATTTTAAAGTCAACTTGGCAACTAGAGCAATTAACTGTACATATTTCTTTTACCCAACAATTTTATATATTGTGGAGTATATATAGAATAGACACACACAAGTGTCCACTGCATCTGTGTTAACATTAGCAAAAGAGCAGTGGCACACTAAGCCTGACTGTGGCACTGGTTACACAATGATATACCAACGCAGTCATCATCACAGACAAGGAAAGCTGTCAGAATGCTGAACTCACACAGAACATGTTCTAAGGGTCACAGACAAACTTCAAAACAGAAACAAAATCCCCTACACGGGCTAGGCTGTTTCTTAGAGATTCAATTTGTTCCTTGCTTCCAGAAAGCAAGTTAGAGACTGAAGGACAGCTTACCTTTAAAAATATTGGTATTCTGTCAATTTAGATGAACTGCTCTAAGAGTTTTTTGTTGTTGTTGTTGTTGTTGTTTTTGGTTTTTGAGACAGGGTTTCTTTGTGGCTTTGGAGCCTATCCTGGCACTCGCTCTGGAGACCAGGCTGGCCTAGAACTCACAGAGATCCGCCTGCCTCTGCCTCCCGAGTGCTGAGATTAAAGGTGTGTGCCACCAATGCCCGGCTTGCTCTAAGAGTTTTTAAAAGTTCCTTAAGACTATATTTAAAACATAACTCAATTATCTCCAATTTTTTTAAGATGGATTAATAGATGTAACCTGTACTTTTATCTGACCAATAGGATTTCTTCCAGAAACACAAAAACATTCTCACATTTTCTATATTGTTAACTATATAAAAATGCATAATTTTACCTAACAATTTTAAATATCAATACATTTAAATAATAACAATACCTGCCCAGTCACGACTGCTCGGGAGAATAACTTATTTAACTGAACAAGTTCGTTGGGTGTGGTATCAAATTTCAGGGCTATGCTATTCAAAGAATCCCTTGATTCAACCTGTTTAAAAGGAAAAATTGGTTACTTTCACCTGTTGAAACAGAAAAATTAAATCATAAGATCGAGTGATTATGTAATATTAATATTAAAATCTTGAAAACAATGTTATGCTTCATTCATAAATGGTAATTTCTGAGGGAATGCTCTAGAAATCTCACATTCTACAATGACCTCAACCTACTAAGACAGGGAGCATGGTAAAACATGTGCTTCACCACAGTCCATACTGGCCAACAACTCGAGCAGTTTCCAAATACAAACTAAAACTTTTCACGCATGTTCACTCTACGACAGCATTAAAATAACTGCGGTTAGGCTCTTGTCCTGCTGTTGCAGAGCCTGAGGTAGAGAGGCCTCCTCGCTGGTTAGGTGCTTGTCCTGTTCTTGTACAAGGCCAGAATTTGACTCCGAGCCCCATGTCAAGACCGCTCACATGGTCCAGCTCCATGGGTGCAAGTAAACTTGCCTGGTGTGCACATACCCCATCACACAAACGTTAGAAATGCAAAGAAAATTCAGTATTATTAAAAGGATGGACGAGAAGAACTGCAATTTCCAAAACAGGAAGTGACAGAAAAAAAAAAAAAAAAAAGCAGGCATCTGGGAAGGTAGGAACAGGAAAACAAAAAAACCACCCATCGAGCCTCGGGTCAGGAATGCTAGAGCGGAAAGGGGTCCCAAGGAAAGGGGAAAGAGGATACACAGAGTGCCTGGGGCACTGCTTGGAGGGGCGGGAACTGGCCAGAAGAGGATAAGCGGTGCTTGGGGAGGGGAACCAATTAGAACAAAGAATATAATGACATGCATGTATGCCAACTCCATCCTGAAGCTGCTTACTTTGCAGGTCACTTGACACTTTAATAGAAATAAGCGAAGGACGGAAACTGTAAAAGTAGGAAGGATGGAATCATAAACAGCAGCAAAGAGAGGAGCCAGTGGGTTTAAGAACTGGAAAATACTTCAGTAGAAAGGCATACTAAATTATCAACGATGACGTGTAACCTTCTGAGCGTGCATGTAGTTTGTGAACACGCGTGCCTACGTGTCTGTACATATGTGTACATGAATGTGTCTCAGAGGACAGAGGTGAATGACCAGTGACTTCTTTGAGTGTTTTTCATCTCATATTATGAGACAGAGTCTCCAGCTGATGTCCAG